TGTGCCTGCCCTCCTGCCTGCACCCCTGGAGCCTGCCCTGCACACCCCCAAAAGCAGGATGACCAGGAGACAGAAGGCACATTTCAGCCTGGCCCAAAGCCAGCACATTTGGTCAATATATGTTCTAACATTTTCAATTACAAAAAACTCAGTTTAAGCAATAATTATAGCAGATCCCCTCTATATAGTAGCAATGGAAGGAGAACATTGTCACAATTGCCCATAGCAACAACTTGAACAAAAATGGGTTAGAGGGGAAAGAACATAATTAGGATGAGACACACTTGCCTGACTTTGAAAGGAAGAAAGACAGTTTGTGCCTAATGCACTAGAGAAATTGCTCCAGAAGAGCTCAGTGAGCCCTGGGCTTATCTGTCCCACACAGGACATGGCACACAGGCTCCAGTGGAGTTGCCTCCCTGGCTGACCAGGAGCACTGGCCAGCCCCAAAAGCAGAAGAAAACCTCTCTTCTTTCTCTGTTTCCTTCCCTGCCTTTGAAGAAAAAAATCCCAAAAGACATTTGTGCTACCAATAGACAATAATATATTTATAACAAATAAGTGCAACAGAAACAAAAGTGATGTATTAAAGGAAAAAAGTGCAGTATTGAAAAGGGAAAGTGCTGGGAATGAAGAGAAAATAAGAATATTGATACTGCTGCCAGGAGCAGTACAAAATAATCATTCCTGTCTTCCTGCATCAGCATCACTGTTCAGGGAGCACACCTGGAGAATGCAAAGCCAGCTTTTGCTACGAAGCCCTCATTTCCATACAAGTGCAAAGCTACAAGGTCAGACCCCAGTGGGTGCCAGGAGCCAGCCCTGCTCAGGGACCCTCAGGCTGGGGCCAGGGTGGGTTCTGGGGCTGAGCTGCAGCATGCAGCCACCACCCTCGCCAGGGCAACCCAAGGGGAGATCCTCAGGTGGCTGAAATAGCAAAGAACAAGCCCAAACATTTAAAAACAAACAAACAAGGAAAAAAAAACCACCAAAACCAAAAACCAAAACATTTCTCAGGTACATTTTCTATCAGGGAACTTGGATCAAATCCTATTAATCCTACTAAAAGTATCATCACTTTTAGTGTAAAGCCTGGGTTACAGGACCTCATGTTCCTGTCAGAACAAACCAACCCCATCCCCCTGTCTTGCTCTTCAGGCCCAAAAATCACACTACAGTCAGAAACAAACACCTTCTCCCACTCACTGAACACTCCACTGGAGTCTTTCTACTGAACTCCTCCACTCTGCTTCTCACCAGACATTTCTCAAAGACTGGTTTACACTAGGAGTAGTAGTTATCAAATATTTGGTGATTATATCAAAAATAGAAGCTTGTACACAGCACTGTAATGATAACACATTGGACTTCTGCAAGCATTTCCTCCATACTTTCTGAAGATTTTACTGTGGTTGGGGTTGGGTTGTTTTTTTAAAAAAAGACTGAATGTATGGTGCCATCTCCTGGACAGTATAACCTAATCTACCAACAGTGAAGTGTTTTTCTCAAAAAACCTTGAGAAGCAATTGATTTTACTTCCTTACAGTTCACAGAATCACAGACAGTTTTGGGTTGGGAAGGACCTCAAAGCCCACCCAGTGCCACCCTGCCCTGGCAGGGACACCTCCCACTGTCCCAGGTGCTCCAGCCCCAGTGTCCAGCCTGGCCTTGGGCACTGCCAGGGATCCAGGGTAGCCACAGCTGCTCTGGGCACCTGTGCCAGGGCTGCCCACCCTCACAGGTAAGAATTTGTCCCTAATCTCCAATCTAAATCTCTCCTCTTCAGTTTAAAACCATCCCCCCTTGTCCTATCACTATCTGCCAGTGTAACAAGTCACTCTCCCCCTTTCCTAAGTTCCTCCAGGCCCTGCCAGGGGCTCTGAGCTCTCCCTGGATCCTTCTCCTCTCCAGGGGAGCCCCCCCAGCTCTCCCAGCCTGGCTCCAGAGGGGCTCCAGCCCTGCAGCAGCTCCAGGTCCTTCCTGAGCTGATCCCAAAGCTGGGCACGGGCTCCAGCAGCCCTGCAGTGCCAGCAAGGTGCCAGCTTGCCCACCCCAGAGAAGGGAGAAGGCAGCCCAACACCCAACCCATAATGTGACAGCACAGCTTCAGACTGTTTGTATACAGGGAGAGAGAGACTTTTTTTCTGGGCTTGGTAAATTTATTTCTAGCAGGTATCAATGTCTGTTTAATTCTAACATACTGCCCCGTGGGACTCATTAGCAGTTTAACAAACTGTCCAGGTACAAACACACAGCAGATAAAAAGACAGAATCTTAAAATATTGTATGTATGCCTGCAAAAATAATCTGGGTGAATGATGAAGGGTGTCAGGGAAGTGCTCAACCAAATCAAACATTGAAAACATTCCTGAGATGGGCTGTTTAAATATTAAATAAATACCCTGAACTTCTGCAAATGTCAAACAGGAGAAATAATGGAATGCTATTTTTCCTAATCTGTTTCCCACTGTAATTATGGACTCCGTACTCCAGCTAAAAAAACCATTTATCTTCTGCTAAGCATTTCAATTGCTTTGTCTCCAATAAATTGTAGATATTACCTTTGACAGGTATCTAAGCCCAGCAAAGTCACAACTGATGTTCCTAGAAAATATTTAACATTTTTCTTACATATGACTTTAATAAAATGTTTATAAAATGTTTCGCCTCTATTTTTGTGGAAGCTTTTTTACCAAATTATGTATTGCTAAAAAAACATAATTTCTTCTACCCAGAAATATTTTAGGGAGGGAAAGGTTATTTACAGGCACATGGTCTGAATTATATCCCCTTTTTTTATAATACCACCAGTGTTACAATATTTATACTAATATACAGTATTATACAAATAACAACACATGTAAGTTATTTTTCTGTGAGCTGACCTGGCCACCCGCATGCAGTGGGGACATTTCCACTGTGACACAGATACACATATAATTTATGCAAAATAAACCCAAACCATAAGTAACTGCATGTGTGAGAACTGGGAAACTAATCAAGCAGAGACAGCACTAATGAGTGCTGGCAGGCAGGAACAACGGCTGTGCCAGGCATGGGGATAGAGGGGAGGGGAGAACTCATCCATGGGAACAGAGCAGGGCCACGCTCTGCAGATCCTGGGCACGGAGTCACAGGAGCAGTGAGGCTGGAAAACACCTCCGGGATCAGACCATCACCTCCGGAGAAGATGAAACAGGAAAGCCTTATAAATACGATTGCCTGGCAAAAGATTTTGAGAATATAGAAACTATAAGCAAGACTGAAATGAATGCAAGCTTTGAGATACCCTAGTTACTGAACAACTGGAAAACAATGGTATGGCTGGCTGAAGGTAATCCCCTTTTGATGGAACAATCCCCTCTGCCTGCAGACAGGTGCAAGGCTCAGAGCAGACCCTACTGGCTTGGCAGAAGGGGTCTAAAGGGCAGGTTTTAGGGTTTAAAACGTAACACAGTATGGTAATGTAATAATTCTTATAGGCTGTAAATGCTACAGGATTTGTATCTTTTATTAGATTGGTTAGTGAGAATTAGAAACCACCAGTTCCAGACCTGGCTCCAGAGATCTCTCATCTCCGTCCATCCCAGCTGTCCTACCCCCCGCTGCTCCTACAGAGACCCAGCTGTGCCCGATGCCCACCCTGTCCCCAGCCCAGAGCCCTGAGTGCCACCTGCAGGGATGGGCACTCCCAGCCTTCCTGGGCAGCCCCTGCCACAGCCTGACCACCTTTTCAGTGAAGAAATTCTCCCTGCATGGCACAAGCCAGCACAACACCTGTTGATTTTTGCCACACACAGGCATTTCCTTCCATTTTTATGCAGCATTTAAAATCTAGTTCTAAGAAAAAGGACCAGTAAGAGCACAGATTCACAGCACCTATCAACACATTTAATTCACCTTGAAATACCAGATATTTACTGTTCTGGGTGGGATTATAGGAAATCTGAGCTAAATCAGAGACTTTACTTCAGTAGTTATATTTTGTTACTATTTAAGGCAGGCAAAGCTGAGCAGCGGGTCTGGTGTTACAGGTCCGTCACTGCTGAGAACAAGTAGTTTCTCACTGTGCCTCTGCAAGAGCTCAGATTACAAAAATGACATCAAATCTCAGCACTCCCATAAATATTCAGGGCTTGAGCATTTTCCATCTGAGGTGTTGGACGGACTCAGGCTCTTCCACTGGCAGCATAGCTCACACCACAGGTGTGGGAAACCTCTTGCTCACACAGTTTGATGGAATTTGGTGGAATAAGTGCTCAGAAACAAATGCCTGCGCTTGGTTTATTACTGCACTACTGTAGTACAGCAGCGAGTGAAGGCATACCTGCTCAGTGACAAATTGGATTGTGTCCTGTAGTCGCAGCACAAGCGAGGTGCCAGCGCTGTGGGGCTGTGCTGGGAGGTGCACTGCCAGCACGTGGAGTGGGCACACCCTGGGCGTGCTGGGTCCAGCTCCCCAGCTCGAGAACAGCCGAGGTGCTGCACAGCCCAGCGAGGGGCCACAAATGTGCGCGGCCTGGAGAACCTGGGCTCTGAGCAGAAAACAGGACTCCTGGAAAAGCCAGAACTGCTGGGCAGCACTGCTGCCAGCAACGAAAACCCAGTACAAAGGAGCAGAGGTGCAGTTCCAACAGGAGAGACCATCGTCCTTACTGGAGTGAGTCGAGAGCACGAGGAAGGATCAAATGGATCTTTGTGGTGTGCATTGCTCTGATTAGGACTGCTATCACCTGCATCACAGCCTCACACTGAGGAAGCACAGTGAAGCATTTATCTTTTTTTCTTTAATCTTCTCTGTCAGCGGTTTACAATCACGAAAAACTATGGATTTATCGTACTTTTTTTAAACTTCATAAATCCTTTTTTTTCCCTCAGTAGCTCCTATTGTGCTTTTACAGCTACTTTTTATTGTAAGATTTGTGTATAATGAGATCTTATCACAGCAAAGCCTTCTTTCATTCCCCTCTGAGTGCATCTGGTATCTGCAATCTCAACAGACTGAATACAAACGGAACCGGCAGATCAAAACCCACAATATCCGAGGCAAGGAACCGCAGAGCGAAAAACTGTGTGGCTCCTGCCAGTCGCTATCAGAGCAACCAGGCGCTAGCAGCCTGCTAGGTGCCGCTGCCGGCTCCCGGCGCCGCTCCGCCGCCCGCCGCCCCGAGCGCTGCGGCTGCTGCCGGGACCAGCGGGCAGGGCGGGCAGCGAACGGGCCAGCTCAGGCGCGGCTCGGACTCTGCTCCTCACCGGATTTGCAGGGAGCAGCCCCCGAGCCCGGCACAGCCGAGCCCAGAGCCCCGGAGCTCGGAGCCCCGCAGAGCCGAGCCCGGAGCCCCGGAGCTCGGAGTGTCCCGCGGGCTGGGCAGGGCCGGGCCGGCGGAGGCTGAGCGGGGCCGCTCCCCACAGGCGCGGCGGCCCGGCCCGGCGAGCTGTGGGACGTGGTGGTGCTGACGGCGGCGGACGCGGCGCAGGCGGGCGCGTTCCGGGAGCAGCTGGCCGAGAAGCTGCGGCGGGAGCAGCTGCCCAGGGCCGTGCGGTTCCTCGTGTGCGCCGACCCGCCGGGGCCCAGGATCGGTGCGTGGGGCCGGGGCTCGGTGCGGGGACAGCGGGCATCGGGGCCGCGGCAGCCCGCTGGGGCCGGGGTGGTGCTGCTGAACGGGCTCTGCCCTCCTCAGAGCGTGTCCTGTGCGTTTGGGATAGCACGAACTCCTGTGTTACACATTCATACTTCACCTGGTTATTCAAACAGTCTGATTGTGTCTTAGTACACCATAGTGGTGATGTAAAACTGGTCTCACTGCTCACAATACCATCCTCTAATTCTTAATTCCTGTTCACTTCGATGTACAAATTAAATAATCTCAGTATTATCTGCGGTGTAGAGTAATATGCATAGGGTTATTCTCAGGAATCTGGCAGTTTAAGTTGCAGGAGCTCATAAAATATCCCAAACCATTTCCTCAGATCCCAAATCTTCCTTATTTCAATACTGTAAATGTCAGGAGTACTTCTGCACACTGCCTTGAATCCGTTAGCTGGCTTTTATGTGACTTGTTTCTTACAGGAGCTGTTTTTTGTGGCTGAGTTATGGCCTCTAATTGATTAAATGCTTTAAATGGTGGGGCTGTGCAGAGGTGACTGGGAGGGGAAATCACAGAGATTTCCCTGGAGCTGTCTGCTCAGGATGCCATCCCCTCAGAGAGTACAGACTTCCAGAGGGACTGCCTACCAGCATCTGTGCATGATCCTATCAACCATGATAGGGTAGAAAGACCGTCCCGTCTCTCTGGCTGGGCACCAGTACACCTCACCTGTCAGAACAGGCATTACTGGAGCTCTTCTCACAGATACTAAAATACTTTTTCTTTAGGAAATGGTGGATCAACTCTTCATGCTCTTCGGTGCTTGGAGGAGCAGTATGGTGATCAGTGGACTTCCTTCACTGTGCTGCTAATCCATTCTGGTAAATTCAGTTTTATATATTTTGCTCTAAAATGACACCTTTTATTTTGTTCTTCCTTAAAATAATAAAATGGCAGAAGAGCTGGAATCCAAAATACAGTTCCCTGAGAAAAGTAACCCACATGTCTGATCATTTGAAATTAGGCTGTTGCTTGCAAGATGTTACTGTCACTTCAACATTTCTTCTCAGCACTAAAGTTGCTCAGTCAGTGAGAAAGATGTGATTCACAGGTGTGATTTAAATTTCTGCCTTGAAACATCCATTTAAGGAACACAACCCTCTCTTGAGGCTCCTCATGCCTCTGGGCAGGCTGAATACTTGCCTTCTTATCCACTGAGTCAGGCCACTTTCAGATGTGGAAGAACATCAGTGCTGCAGAGGAGAAAGAAACCAAGTGATAACAAGTGTTGTCACCAAATCTTTGCCTTTTTGATTCATCACTGGCTTAAAATCCCATCAGGAATGTGGTGGTTCTCCTCCAAGCAAAAAGCAGGTAATGTTTCCTTTTGTCACTTCAGTGCCAGATAGCTCTGAAACAAAACGGTAACAAAATCAATCACACTTTTAATATGAGCTATGTAAGGCAGGCTGGGTTTTGGACATAAGGTCAGATGTGCTTTGAGACTTGGTGTATGACCAAGCTGAGGGGTTGTTAATGCTTTTTTGTGCCTGTGAAATTGCCGCCTAGGTTTAGTTTTTTGCTCACATACGTGCAGTGTCTCTGTATAACTAAAAGAGTCTTTTTCCAGGTGGTTACAGCCAGCGTTTGCCAAATGCAAGTGCCCTGGGCAAGATCTTCACGGCCCTGCCGCTGGGCGATCCCGTGTACCAGATGCTGGAGCTGAAACTGGCCATGTACATCGACTTCCCCCGTCACATGAAACCAGGAGTCCTCGTCACGTGTTCGGATGACATAGAGCTGTACAGCACCGGAGTCACAGAAACCATCACCTTCGATAAACCTGGGTTTACTGCCTTGGCTCACCCCTCAGATCTGGCAGTCGGGACCACGCACGGGGTGTTTGTGCTAGATCCGTCCAGTTTTTCGGGAAAGGGAGGACTGGAATATGGATCATGCTATCGTTTCCTGCACAAGCCTGACCTGGAGACCATGCAGCAGAGTGGTGCAGTGTGTGTGAGGGGGGATCGCCCTCCGCTCAGCTCCTCTGGGGGCTGTGGAGACTCGGCCATGGCCTCAGAGTGTGTGTACACAGACAGTGTGTTCTACATTGACCACAGCACTGCCCAGCAGCTACTGGAGTTCTACAAGAAGATGGGCACTCTTTGCTGTGAAATAGATGCATATGGTGACTTTCTCCAGGCCCTGGGGCCTGGAGCCACTCCAGATTACACCAAAAACACAAGCAATGTCTCCAAGGAGGACTCAGGGCTGGTGACAGTGCGGCAGCAGCTGTACTCCCTCCTGCAAGGCACTGCCCTAAATGTCATAGTCCTCAACAACTCCCAGTTCTACCACATTGGGACTACTCAGGAATATTTGTTTCATTTTACTGCTAAGAGCCAACTGAGATATGAGCTTGACTTGCAGCCTGTGGCTTTTAGCATCTTCCCTGACACAGCCAAGACCTTGGATCAGTTGAGCATCATCCAGAGCGTCCTTGAGCCCGGGTGTGTGATAGGGCCTGGCTCTGTCATTGAGTACTCCAGAATTGGGCCTGAGGTCTCAGTAGGGAAAGGCAGCATTGTTAGTGGGTCCCACATAAATTTCAGTGTAGACATACCCTCAAACTGCTTCCTGAGTTCAGTAAGTGTGAAAATTACTGATCGAGTGGAGTATGCCACCATGGTGTTCGGTGTAGGCGACAACTTGAAAAAGAGTGTGAAATTGCTGTCAGACATACACTCCCTCCAGTTTTTTGGAGCCAGCTTACCAGAATGCCTTCACCTCTGGAGCTTAGAGGCTTCAGACCAGCTCTTCTCCAGTGAGGACACACGTCTGGGGCTGTGGACTGCAAGGATTTTCCCTGTTTGTTCTACTCTGAGTGAATCAGTTAGGATGTCACTGAACATGCTGAATTCTGTGCACCACAAGTCAGCTTTCAAACTGAATGGCTTTCAGCTTTTGTCTGTTGAAGAAATGCTCACCTACAAAGATGTAGAAGACATGCTGAAGTTTAGGAAGCAAATTTATGATGAAATCTGCCTACAAAGACAAAAAGAGAAGTCTGATTATAGAATGAACAGTACTTGAACAAACTATTTTTCATTTGTGGACGATTGATTACTTCCCAGCTTGTAAGAATCCTAAGGGAAAAGTACACAGATCTCCTCTCTGATCTCATTGAAGTAGAAATGAAGAAATTGCATAACATTAATAAAGCAGCAAATCCAGATAAAGTGTTCTTTTGATTAAAATAGGGAAATACTTCAGATCTAAAAACACTATTTGGTGACCTTTTGTGGGTTGCATGTTATGTCTGGTAGTTTTTTGTCAGAATACAATACAGAAAAAATTGTCTATTTGGCTGAAAACAGCTTTAAAAGCTTTTAAATGGTAGAATATTAGCTCAAGAAATGTGGAATAATACAACAACTTGTGTTTCTCTCTTTTTATGCTGCCATTTTGCAATACAGTTTCAAACAGTAGTTATGTAGAAGTAAAACGATTAGAAGTGCTTTTAATTCAATGTCTTGGGCATTAATAAATTTTTATCTTTTGTTTTTTATCCTTTTTATCCTTTCCTGTTTTTTGTCAGGAGAAAAAAGATTGGCATGAGTGATTACTCTTCCCCTTGTGACTTGTAGTGCTGGGGTCAACACCAGTCATCAAGACATAATGATTTATTTTTTTTCTAGTAGTTGTTGGAAGCCAGCAGTGTGATGGAGAAGCTGCCAGCTCTTTGTTACCTACAGATTGACTGATGTGTGCCATGCAAAAAGCAGCACCTTGTCTTTCTCTAAACTGAGCTGTTGCAGTCTTTGCTGTCCTTGGTGGGGTGGAGGAAAAGCCAGAGAGGTTTGTTGTGAGTGGCACCACAGCACATATCTGCAGAGAAACTTCCCCTTCTCCCCCTTCTGCAACTAAAGTTAATATTAAAGTCCTCCTGTTTCTAGTTTAGATGCCCAAGATCCAGCTCCAAATAGATAAATCTGCTATTTTTGGGAGTATGCTGTGCAGTGTATCAGCATGATTTAGCTGATGCGTCTTTTTCTCTTGAATGTCTCTGTGGGTTTTCATGTTTTATTTAATGTCTCATGATGACAGTGTTTATCTCCCTGCTGACTGAAATCCCAAATGGCACCTTTCTTATGCCACCTACGAGGCAGCAGAGTAATGTCCCCTGAGCATTACCCACCCTTCTTTAACCTGCACTAGGTTTTTTCTGCCTTAATAAACCTTCCAAGAAGAAATACAAAGAAGTTAAACGTGGAGGTTGGGAATTGCTGGAGTTGGCTTCAAAGGAATAAGAATTTCAGAGCAAATAGAGGGTCTAAAAGTCAGTATGAAATATTAGTTAAACAATGGAAGCAGTAGGTTGGGGAGCACTCAAGTCCAAGATAAACCCTTTAAGTCACAAAGTGACAGTAGTCATAGAGCATGGAGTTGTCATTTGTATATCGTCCTGTTTGCATGATTTATTCATCTGTTGTTGCACAAAAGATTTTAGGAGAAACATGTTTAATGCAGACTTTGCATCTTGAGTTTGAGACCTTAATTTGTTTGCTACAGACTTCCCTGAGGGTTGCTGTGCTGCCAGGTGAGTTCCCGGAGTGTTTGGTAACAGCAAAATGCATCCTTTTAACATGGTTATCCACTTTAACTGTTGCAATTGCATTTGATCTGAATTCCCTCAGTACCAGCTATTGATTTCATTAGTGAAAGCAAACTGGATAAAAATAGAAAGTGGATTTGTTTCTGGCACATAAGTATTGGGAAAAGAGAATGAGGAAAAACGGTGACAGAACAACTTGTGGGAAAGGTTGTGGTAGGTTGGGCCAGCAGCAGCTGTTGTGGTTTAGGGAGCAGTGTGAATTCCAAAACAACAAAAAAGGAGTGTCATCCTGGTGGTAACCCAGGTTGGATCTTGAGGCAAAGGTTTTAATGAAAAAAATAAAATCTGTTGTAACAGAATAAGCATGGATTTACCACATAAGAAACATTGCACTGCTTTAATTCTGTGTGTCACCCACTGCTTTCCTCTTACTCTGAACATTTTTGTTTCAAATTGAGAAGGCAGATTTCAGTCAGTATTAGCCCTGGATAACATCAGCGGGTTTAATGGATTTACTCTATAGGTATGGGAATATCTGGTGGTGTACCATTCTTCATTTTTTAACTGCAATCAAGTTTAATGTAAAATGTTATGAAGAACATTACAATATATATTTTATTTCTAGAGAGTTATATTAATTATTTTCCCATATGGAGGTATTCAAAAGCCACATGGATGTGACACTTGGAGGCAGAGGTTAGTGTTGGCCTTGGCAGTGCCAGGGGAATGGTTGGACTTGATGGTCTGGGAGGGCTTTTTCAGTCCAAATGCTTCTTTGATCCCACAATTCTCTGTATTGCAGCTATTTATGAAATGTGTACATTTTTAGCTATAACAAGTGGCAGTCCGTACAGCAAGGGTCATGCTACAGTGTGAGCACATCTTACTAAAATCAAAAAGCCTGCAGACCAGACTCTTCCTGGCAATAACAATCCAAGGCTGAGGTATTCAATCCATGTATGTATTTTATCCATATTGCATTTACTGCTCCAGGTAATCCTTGTATTCCACAGTCTGCCATTAATGTAGATGACAACAATTTTCTCATGCAGCCAGCTGGGATAAGTGTGTCCCAAGGAAACAGAACCTTGTGCAAGGCTACCCAGTAAAACTTCAGCAAGGTCAGTAATTTGTGTGTTGCTGGTTTCCAGTACCAGGCTCTTAAAACAAGGCCATCACAGCATCCTGGCCCATGATTTTCCTGCAGTCTGAGTGATGAAGGATGCAGTCATGAGAGTGCCAGGCATGCAGGACCTCTGGATGGGAGTCATCTGCTGAAACCTACAGTTTGATTTTGACTGATCCTCACAGTGTCCCAGATGGGTGCAATGTTCATATATCTCTAGATCATTTCCTGGCTCCATCTATCCTGAAATGCAATTCAGGCTGGTACAATCTCAAACAAAGTCAAGATGAGCTTTTAATGATTTTTTTTCATGTCAGCTTTCTTTATTTAATTAGTTTTGCTGTGTAGTGCAATAATAGGGCTCATAATGAACATGATTGCAATGATTTCCCTGAATGCCTTGAGCAGGCACCGTGATCAGCAGAGGTTTAGCCCTGCTGTCTGTGTTATACTGAAATCTTAGATGGGGTATTTCAGTGACCTTTGGTGCAGGAAACTGAAATCTGAGAAATTGGGCACTTAACAAAGAGCACAAGGGAAGGCAGCTGAAATAAAAATGAGCAGCTGAGAGGAATCTGTGCCAGAAGGATTTGGGGAGCTGATGAGAGGAAGTAAGCTGGGAGGATCAGTTGGATCTGCAGAGCAATGTTCGTGCCTTGTCAGGGCGTTTTTGCTCGAGCTCACAAGTTCAGCCTCTTCTGGTTCCCAAGCCTCTGATGTAAGAGCTTTGTTTTTTGCTTGAGCCCCCATGCAAAGGCCTCTCTGTTGTGAGAGCAAAAATAACAGCGCAGTGCTGCTGTACACTCTGTTCATCTGCTGCCACGGGGGAGCCACTGCAAACCCTGCTCCCTTACAAGGGCCAGGCTCCCTCCACTTTCTTCTTGAGAACACACATTTTCTTTTAGCACCCTTTTCATTTCCTGGGACATTCTGAATGTCACCAGAATGGCAATGAAGTGTATGGGAGCAGCTTACAGCTTCTTCAAGTAAATGATAGATGTGGATGTATGTTAATTGTGGATATGTTCTGATTAATTTGAAATAAAGACTCCTGTTTTACTCCTGTAAACCCTCCCTGTGAAGGACATGTAAAACCTCAGCTCTCCCAGCTGTTTGGCACCTGGATGTGGGAATCAGTTGCCAGGCTGGTGCCTGGCAGGATACAATGAGACAGCAGTTCAAACTCTTCTGAAACAGATCCTTGGATTGGGATTGGTATGTAAGTTTGTGCAAGTAAAGGGACAGGCTGGTAGTGCCAGGAGCTGCCGAGGCAGCAAGGTTGTTACAGTGGGCTGCAGCGTGTGGGAGGTTTTAGAGATGTGTGTTCTGTTAACTTGTCTGCTTGCCTGAAATCCTTCACTGAGATGAGAACTCGCACACAGAACAGCTGCCAAGGTCAATCACCACACTTTAAATACATAAATATATAAATATAAATATTTATGTGTGTATATTTGCATTTCACTTTGAATTATATATTGCCCTTCCTAAGTGCCATACCCAGGTGCTCCCAGTGCCACCCCCAGTGCCAGGGGGCTGTGAGTGGCAATGACCCCTGGCCTCTCTGAGCCAGGGACCCCCTGCACTCCTTGGGGATCCTCACAGGACACCTGGGATTCAGGTGCTCAAACTCCCTTTTCTCTACAAAACCACTAGCAAGCTGCCAAATTACCACTTCCCACTAGCTGTAAAGTGTTCAACAGATGGAGGCAAGTGTTTGTGTGGGAATGAACTGGAGATTTTTAAGCAAGCTGAGTGGGTGTTTCTATGGCTTTAGCTCAGTGGACAGCACAGGCTGTTTCACTCCATGCTATTGTTGCATGACATTCCTCTTGGCACAATGTTTATTTTTAGCCAGAGACTATCACAAGTATTTTTCAGCAGGACTGTCACTGCCCCTGAACAGGGAATCATATTACTGCAAGAACTTTGCTGAAACAAAGAAGATAAATTGGACAAATGGGAAATTATAAATCTAGACCAACCCAGACTTGCACGGGTAACTAATGTCACCTTTTTTACAGGCAGTGTGCCATCCATCCATCAGCAAGGAGCAAATGGTATTTCAGGAGATAACTCATTCCTGGTTTACTCTTGAGTTCAAGGCTCAGGTATTGTTCTTGACTTAACCCAGATACAGGCTGTGAAAGAAGACAAAAAAAAGCCAAAAAAAGCTGCTAAACTAAGTTTATTTGGGCAATTATATAAGATCATAGTAACTTGTATAGTATGTTGATTTAACTCATACTTAATGAGAAAAATCTCTAAATCTCTAACCTTTTTCTGCTGTGTGTCTGCTGAGGAAAAAAGAACTAGCAAATGTAACCTGAACTTTAAGTTTTTTCTTGAATATTATTTAATATTAAAATACGTATGCACTGCCTCTGGAATCCTTGTATATGTTTCTGTACTGGCTGCAGCAGGAACAGTTTAACAGTTGTAATATTTTAAACTTTAATAGAAATATATATGAAATTGTACAATTGGGTGTTTAAAAATCAAGTGGTTTTGTTACATTGGCGACATTATTATTTCTGTGCTTTGAAGAGTTTTATCAGTTTGGAGTTTTTGTTGTAGATGAATGGAAGAAGAAAGTCAGCGAATCCTATGCCACAGTCACGGAGCGGCTGGAGGACGACCTGCAAATCAAGGAAAAGGAGCTGGCAGAGTTAAAGCATGTTTTCAGGTAAAATATTCTGTGAATCTCTTTATTGATTTATTTAAAATGACTATTTGCTATCAAACAGTATTTGCAGTTTCAGGTGTTTTATGTGGACAGAGTTTCTCCTGTGTGGAATGCATGTTCCTTGCGTCTATTTTTGGGACT